CGCTTGGGAACCCTGCAGCCCAATGGTATCAATGTGGATTTCACAAGCTTCAAAATCTCCCCTCCCCCCACCACATCCCAAAACCAGTCCAACTCGTCCCTGCCTCCCTAACCTGTTCTTCCTCCCACCTATCCCCTCCTCCCACCTCAAGCCGCACCTCCATCTCCTACCGACCAACCTCATCCCGCCCCCTTGACCTGTCCGTCCTCCCTGGACTGACCTATCCCCTTCCTAACTCCCTACCTACACTCACCTTTCCTGGCCCCATCCCCGCCTCTTCGACCTGTTTGTTTCCTCTCCACCTATCCTCTCCTCTATCCCTCTTCTATCCGCCTCCCACTCTCTCCCTATTTATTTCAAAACCCCCTTCCCCTCCCCCTTTTCTGATGAAGGGTCTAGGCCCGAAACGTCAGCCTCTCTGCTCCTATGATGCTGCTTGGCCTGCTGTGTTCATCCAGCCCTGCACCTTGTTGTCTCGGATTCTCCAGCATCTGCAGTTCCTACTATCTCTGGTTTAGTTTGGGGTTATTTTCGGCACAGAATGGTTGGACCAAAGGGTCTGTCTCTGTACTGTATGACTCTGAACTTAATTATAGAGGCATTAAATATTTGTCTGTCTTGAACATAGATAAAGGAGAACCAGTAAATGTTGTATGCATGGGCTTCCAAAGGAATTTGGTAAGGTGTGACATTAAAGGTTAAAATGCAAGATAAGAACTCATGGATAATATATTGGTATGGGTAGTTTAATAAACTGCTAGGAAGCAGAAAGGAGCATATATGGGGCATTTTTAAGTTGGTGGACAGTAAATTGTATATGGTCACAAAAGTCAGTGCTGGGCCCTCAGCTATTTATAATCTATACTAATGAATTGAGTGAAGAGTGATGTTTACTGTTAATACAAAATTAGGTGGAACAGTAAACTTCAGCAAACTGATGTACACAAATTAAGTGAAATGCTAGATGGATTATATTGTAGAGATGTGTGCAGTTACTTAGTTTGGTTATGAGAATAAAAAAAAGCCGAATACATTTTTAAATGTGTGGAATTTGTAAGTATTGATGTTCAAAGAATCTTGGATGTGCTTGAGCAAGAAATGCAGAAAGTTGATATGCAGGTACAACAAGGCATATGGCTGTTGCTGTTTGTTACAAGAGGATTGGAGTTGAGGAATAAAACAGTATTTCTACAATTGCGTAATGTTTTGGTGAGGCCACTGCTGGAATGGTGTGTGCAGTTCTGGTCTGCATGTTTAAGAAAATTGTTTTTGCATTGGAGGCAGTACAGCAATAGTTCACTAAGTTGTATACTAAATAAAAACGGAAAGAACTGCAGATGCTGTAAGTCAGGAACAAAAACAAGTTGCTGGAAAGGCTCAGCAGGTCTGGCAGCATCTGAAGAAAAAATCAGAGTTAGCGTTTTGGGTCTGGTGACCCTTCCTCAGAACTGTTAACTCTGGATTTTTTTCTTTACAGGTGCTGCCAGACCTGAGCCTTTACAGCAACTTCTGTTTTTGTTCACTAAATTAGTCTCTGGGATGTGATAAGAGTCTAACCAAATTGGATCTATATTCACTGGAGTTTAGTAGAATGAAGTGTGATATTATTGAAACACTTAAAACTTGAGGGGAATTGAAAGGGTGGGTGCTAAAAGGATGACTTCCCTTAGGGAAAAGACTGTAATTAGTAGGTACGGTTTTGAAAATGAGTAGTCACATTCCAGACCGGATGAGGCAAATTTGCTTTTGTGTTATTACACCCTATGATCTGATCAACTGGCGGAATTGATTTTGAGTATGGCCTACTTCCCCTAATTTGCGCCTTCTTACAACTTAAAAACATACAGGAAATTGAGTTGTGGTTTAGTTTGCTCAGTACATAACCAGCAGGCTATCATTCTACTGAGTTGACTGGATTGAACCTTAGTCTCATAAGGGAAAAGACTGAATCTTCAACCAATCCACATCCTGTCTCTCAAGTTTACAATGAATAATTAGACTGAAACATGCCTAAGGGTTTATTATAATGGAGATTTTACTTTGGTATTGTCTTTCTTAAACAGTTGATGTAATACCAGCATACATATAGATTTCTTTGGCTCTTGTATACATCAAAAATTAGTGTGATAACTAGCATTCTGTTTAAGGCTGCTAAAATTAATTTCCTGAAACACCGATTAGTATCTTTGACCTTTTTGCATTGATTTCTTGCAAGTGTAAAGTTTGTCAGTGCGGTCTTCTACAAATATCTTATCCAAAACCTCATTCATCCTCCAAGGTTAGACACTAACTGTTGGTAGTCAGTCAAACCTGAGCTTGATGAAGTCATTACTGAGGTGACAGTTAGACTTGTTGCAAATATTGTTGGTTGGGAATTGGGAGCAGGTGATATCTGATTGATATACCTGATTGATAGCTGTTTCTAAGATTTCTGACTCATTTTGACTGCAGCTTTCCCAAGACCAATATCACTATGATTTGGCTGGAACATTTACAATCTTGAACACAGCCAGTTCATCTGGAACAAAAACAAATTGATAGAAAATCTCTTCAAATCTGGCAGCATCTGTGGAGAGTAATCAGAGTTAATGTTTCGGGTCCAATGACCCTTCTTCAGACCCTTCTTCATGTGGTGTTGATTATAGGCCTGAGTCAGGCTGGCCGCTCCTGACCGTTCTTACTACTGCAGTAACGTTCTTTCAAGTTAGTCCTCTTTTTTGTAATGATCAACTTCAAACATATGGCAATCACATCAGACATCTTCCTATCCTTCATGCCATATTTGTTAAAAATCAATGTTTGTCTGATTGATAATGCTCTGACCATTCATTGCTTCAATTCCTAGACAGATGAGGAAAAGATGTTCTTGAAGGCAATATCCCTTTGTCACACAGTGCACATTAATGACCGGGAAGAGATGCAGAGATCAAATTTGAGTCTTGTAGCTGATCCATCCACTGTGCAATACTATGCTGCTTCACCAGATGAGAAGGCTTTAGTAGAAGCTGCAAGAAAGTAAGGATATTTTTCTACATAAACTATTAAGTTCAGTAGATGCAAGTAATTTCTTCTGTTAAATCTGAATTCTGAAATAATTTTTTTTTATCCTTATACATTTTAGATCTAATGTCAGTATGGTTGTTTGTTTGTGTGTGTAATTACTGTATCACTATTATAGTGCTGTAATTTCATGTTTGCACAATGTGCATTTAGAAAATTATGTTGGTGGACATTATATGTTAATTCCCGTATTGCTAGTGAAGTATACGCTAAGTGAAATCGTTTGTTTTAATATTGCATATAATCCTATGGTGTTGGCTTTGGATGCGTCAGGAAAATCTCTGGGAGTAATCAGAACTGGTTACTGAGCTGAGCAGAATCGCTGTCCAATATGTCAATACCCAATGGTAGCTTCTGAATTGAAGGCTTTGAGATCAAGCTGTATTCTAGAAATTTGAACACACAATCTTAGCTGGCACCTCATTGGCCATAAAATGCTTTGGGACAACCTGAGATTACAAAAGTCACCTTATACATTCTATGTCGTAATATATTGCTTTCTTTCTCATTTACTCATTTTGTTTTGGGCCATTTGCCCTTGCTGCCTTTTTTTTGGGCCATGTACCATCACACCTTTTTTTTTGGGCTGCCTTTGTCTGTCTGCCCTTGACAAGACCCACCCTTTTGCTGCATGAGCAATATTAACCACTCCAAATTGTGAATATAACAGATTTTGCAGTATCAAAGTTTGTGCATATAAACAAACTGATAAAGCAAAATCCAAAGTATCAGTTTAAAGATGATACAATTATTAATCATAATTGATAATCGGAACCAAGCCTATTGTAACCCCAGTCTCTAAATAGCCACACTCTTTTCTGGCATCCAGTACTTGATGAGTAGAAGTTCCCTCCATTTAAATATTGTGAGGACTGAAGCTATTTCTTTGAACCCTGCCACAATCTCCATTCCATTACCACTGACTCTATTGTCAACCTAGCAACTGGTTGAGAGCAATCCAGGCCATTCATAACCTTTCATTCAGAGATAAGCTTCCAATCTCATCTGCATAGTCACTCCCCAGACCACCTATTCCCACCCTCATAACAATGGCCACCTTCACCCCTGCTCAGCACATTGGCAGCTGAAGTCCTCATCCGTGCCACTTTTATCTCTGTTTAATAATTTTGATGCACCCTTGACTAACCTCCCACATTCCAAAATCTGTGAACTTGTAGTCATTCGAAACTCAACTTCAACATATTAACCTACATTAACTTCTGCTCACTCACCTCCGCTGTATTCGTAGATCTACATTGATTGCTAGTCAAACTGCGGCTTAATTTTAAAATTCTCAGAGTCAAACAGCACAGAAGCAGACCCCTCAGTCCAACCAGTGCATGCCGACCATAATCCCAAACTAAACTAGTCCACCTGCTTGTGCTTGACCCATATCCCTCCAAACATTACTTACTCATTTACTTATCTAAATATCTTTTAAACGTTGTAACTGTACCCACATCCACCATTCCCACTAGAAGCTCATTCCTCGCACGAACTACACTGTAAAAGCAAAATTGCCCCACATGTCTTTTTTTAAATTGTTCTCTTCTCACCTTTAAAAATATGTCCCCTAGTCTTGAATCCCTCCACCCTAGGGAAAAGACACTTGCCAATCATGATTTTGTAAATTTCAAATCCTTCCATGGCCTCACTCTTTTCTATCTCTGAGATTTCCTCCAGCTCACAACTCTGCTTAGATCTCAGCGCTGTGACTTTCAGCGATTTTAAACATTTAGTTCCTTAATTCCCTCCATACGTCTCATGGCCTGCATCCCCTGTGGGTGTGGATAAGTGTCAGGTTGTCGACTTCTGTAGGAGAAACAGAGATGCAGAGTATTTCATTGAGATATTAGGAAGTGCTGATGTCCAAAGTTCATGGGTGTCCTGGTTCATCAGATACTAAAAGCTAACATGAAGGTGCAATTAGGAAAGAAGATGGTATGTTGGCCTTTTATAGCAAGAAGATTTGAGTGCTAGAGTGAAGTTGTCATGCTGCAGCTTTATAGAACCTTGATGAGATTATATCTGGAGTCCTGTATACAGTCTTGGTCATCTTACCTAAGGAAGGATATACTTGCCATAGAGCAAGTGCAATAGAGGTTCACCAGACTGAATCTTCAAATGGCAGGACTGTCCTATGAGAAGAGGTTGACAAGATTGGATCTGTATTCTCTTGCATTTAAAAGAATGAGATTATTTTTCATTGTAGTTTAGAAAATTCTTATAAATGGTCACACAGGTAGGAAGGATATTCTCCTTGGAGGGGGAGGCAAGAACCAGTACATGCAAACTCAGAATAAGAGATGAACCACTTAGGGCTGATGTGATGAGATGAATCTTTGAAATTTTCTATCGCACATGGCTGTGGAAGATCAATCATTGAGCATGTTCAAGAAAGTGATCGATAGATGCTAATGATATCAAGTGTAATGGAGAAATTATGGCAAAATAGCATTGAGATGGGTAATCAGCCATGATCTAGAATGGTTTAGTAGACTTGAGGTAAAATGCCCTACTCCTAGTCCTATTGTCCTCCTTTAAGATACACCTTAAAATCTGCCTATTGGTCCAAGCTTTCGGTTATCTGGCCCAATATATCCTTGTGGATATTTTCAGTTAACCTGTTCAGGCATGTGATGTTTCATCTCTGGAGCAGGCATGACTCAACCCTGGGCCCAGAGGTAGGGACACTACCACTGTGCCATAATAGCCCTACTGTAATGTGTCCTTTTATGGCTCAATGTCAAATGCTATTCTATAACATTCCTGGAAATTAACTTGGGACGAATTATTCTTATTCAGGGTATTAAATGTCATTCATTTTGGTTGATTAAATGGTAAATGGACAACTGTTTATGAAGCCATCCTTCATTCTAAAATATGTTGCTCAATGAAGCAAAGAACCTTTGATGCCATGATATTTTTAGTCAATTTGTTTGTTTTGGTTTAATGTTTTCTAGCCTGCTGAAAATGATAGTTCGGGTTAAAATACAGTTGTATGGATATTTCCATTTTTTGTAATTGCAGAAGCCTATTTAATGAGTGTAAACCTAAGCTGTATTGCCTTCCATGGGGAAATACTTCTGTAAAGTTAAAGTTCCTCAAAACATTCACAGAGAGAGGTTTCTCTCTCCCCTAATCTTAACCTGTCTTCCTTACTTGATAACCGTGACTCATTAAAAATATTATTGCGTGTGTGCTGGTGATACGATATTACCCCAGTCTTGGTATCAATGTTGAATACCACAGTCAATGATGCTGGAAAGGACTTGGAAGTATTAAATTTCTGAGGTGTGCAAGTTGAAACAGTTTTGCCATGGGCATGTAATGGATTGTAGCATTATTGTAATAACATGGAATTTACTTTGTCAATCATCTAGTTATGATTTGAGAAATCTTTAAATACGTGAATCTATTTCATTAGCTTTTGGCTATGGAAGTAGCTAGACATTTGTGAATTGATAATTGATCTTGTGCACCGAACATTTAGAATATTGGGCCATCAGTTGAGCAATGAACTTTATCTGGCTCTTCCTATGAGTCAATAGCAAAGTTTTTCACAGATCTGTGTGGTAGTTTCTGTAATAATGTCTGTTTTGACAATGCTTTTAAGATTTTGTTTTTCCTTCCTGTAGGATTGGGATCACATTTGCAGGCTCAAGTGAAAATAGTATATTACTTAACGAGTTTGGAAAGGAGCAAAGGTAACAAAACTGTGCATGGCTTTGGTATGTTTTCTTAAATTGTGGAAAGGAATGAGCTTTTCTCTTCTGTACGTACTTCTCTTTTCTTCCCTTGTTTCTTGAATATGTAGCCATGTCTTAAATTATGATTCCGGTGATGTCACCTGCTCTCTACTGTCTAGTTCAACTGGCTACTTTTTGAGTGTCAGTCTGGGTAGAGAGCATGTTACGGAAGAGATGATTGTTATTCTTTATGCTGTACCCATCCAAAGCTCACATGTAGACGGACTTCCTTGGAAGAAGCATTGGATGGCAATTAGATGCTGGACCTCAGCTTATTTTACTCTTCTCTGCTTAAGAATCTTCAGGCCAATTATAGCACTTTTATCACTGTGTATGAGGTTGTCTTTCTTGCCATGGAAGGAATTAAACTGAAGAACTTTTTCCTGTTATAAACTGTGTTGAAGATGAAGCTTTAATTTCAGTTTTATCTATCTGCCACGATTTCATGATGCATCAAAGTGCGCTTCTATGGTGCAACTGTAGTGTTGGTGCTAAGCAGTTTCACTTTGCATCATTGTGCTGTCTGAGTATCAAACGTGATACATGAAATTCCTCACGAGTACTGTGGTTTTTGCTCCTTGATCCTGCTACAGCACCAAGTTGTTTAGACAATTACTGTAATACAGTAAATTTACAAAAGAATATGCCATATTGTTGACATGAAATAATGACAGTCCTAATATTGAAAAATACAGATCTCAAATATATTTGTAAAGCTGTTTAGCAATCAGTTTTAAAAATTCCTGAAGATGTATGTAATGTTATTTTCTTTTTATTCCTACAGATACAAACTTCTAGATGTTTTAGAGTTTGATGCAGATCGCAGGCGAATGAGTGTAATTGTTGAAACCCCAGAAGGTACATTAATAAATACATCCTGACTACATATAAGCTTAAGTAATAAACTGAATCTTGATAAATGTCCAATGAATGCATGCATGTAAGGGGAAACTTAGAACATTAAAAATACCTTCCGTTATTTAAATAGTGCACAAACAGAAGTTCCAATCTAATATTATTGATGAACCACCCAGATATAACAACTTTGCAATAGGAGCTGACAGAAGCAACATGACTCTGAACTGAAGAGCACCTTTTTGGTAGGAACAGGAGTAAACCATTCAACCTATCAAGCTGGCCCTGCTGTTTTAAGTCATGGCTAATCTTTTCTACAATGCCATTTTCCTGCACACTGTTTATCACTTTAATGTCATAATCTGTTCAATGTTTGAGTGTCCAGAGCTCCCTCAGGTAGAAAATTCCAAAGATTCATTACTCTCTGTGAAGAAATGCCTCCTCATCTGTTTTAAATGGTCGTTCCCCGGTTCTAGAGTCACCAGCCAGGGAATCACCCTACCTACAACCACCCTGTCTCACACTTAAAGATTTTTTAAAATTTTGATGAGATCGCCTCATTCTTTGAAACTCTAGAGAATACAGAATTTCCTTAATCTCTTCACATAAAACAGTACTACTATCTAAGGGATTAATCTGATTAATCTCCCTTACACCTCCTCAATAGCAAGTGTATCCTCCTTTAGATATGGAGGCCAAAATTGTACACAGTACTCCATGGGACATCTCATCATGATTCTATACAACTGCAGCAATAGCTATTTACGTGTGTACTCAAGTCCCCATTCTAATTGCTTTCTGCATCTGCATGGCAGATTTTAGTGGCTCATGGACAAGAACATCCAGATTCTTTAGGATGCCCATACTCCCAATCTATCAATATTTAAGAAGCATTCCACTTTTTTTCCCTACCAAAGTGAATAACCTAATGCTCATTCACATGATAATCTACCTTCCATGTTCTAATCCATTTACTTAGCCTGTCCTTGTTCTCTTGAAGTCTCCTTGCATCCTCCTCACAACTTGCATTCCCACACAGTTTGGTGTCAGTAGCAACTTTGGGCATCTTACATTGGGCCTTCCATCCGAATCATTTGTGAATAGATTGTGAACCTAGCATTGACCCTTGCAATACATCACTAGCAACAGCGTGCCACCCTGAGAATGATGTTTATTCATACCTCTGCTTTCTGTTTAGTAAATAATTCTCAATCCATGCTGTTATATTCTCCCTAATCCTATATGCTGTGATTTTATTTAGTAATGTCCTTGGCCTTAAAAATCCAAATACACTAAATCCGCCAGTTTGCCTTTATCTATGATACAAGTAACAATCCTCAACAAACTCCAAGTTTGTCAAACATGATCTCCCTTTTGATAAGTTCATGTTGACTCTGCAAATCCAAACCACATAGGGATGTGGTAACCAAGCCAGTTAGAAATCAAACACAAAATTGGGCAGAGTTGACATTGACAAGTAGAATATCTTGCACTTACAAACAGCTTCTGTGGCTGTAGCAGCAAGTACTGGACAGTGAACAAAGCAAATAAAAAGAGAAGGGGGTGGTAGGAAGCACATCCTTCCTACTTCACCAAACTCTAATATTAGCCAAAGTCCCTGTGCTTGAAGTGTGCGTTCCACATTTATTTATATTCTTTGGCGCTACAATGCAAGAACCAGACAACCAGTTTACCTAATTAATTAACCTGCAACTTTCCAGTGAAGCTTGTTTACCCTGTCCTCAAGTCTGAAGGAAAGTACTTTCTTACCTTTTAATTTTTGACCAGTTTAAAAAAAAGTTAAATAATAGCTAGATAACAAGGTGTAGAGCTAGATGAACACAGCAGGCCAAGCAGCATCAGAGGAGCAGGAAAGCTGACATTTTGGGTCTAGACGCTTCTTCAGAAAAAAGAAGGGTCTAAACCCGAAACATCAGCTTTCCTACTCCTCTGATACTGCTTGGCCTGCTGTGTTCATCCAGCTCTACACCTTGTAATCTCAGATTCTCCAGCATCGGCAGTCCCCACTATCTCTAAATAGTAGCTATACGCCATAGTTTTACAAAGGTATGGATACTAAATAACTTGACATTGTCCAGCGTGAATATGATTTGCCAGTGGTAAACATGATCTTTTTTCCAGTTAGCTTAGAAATGATGGACAATATATACAAGTGAGATGATTATAAATTGCAGTCTGATAATCCACTTAGCAAAAGAAATACTATTTTTTATAATTTTACATTTAAGGTTATTTTGTGGACAATAAGTTCTTTGAACCAATTTACATGCACAAAATATCCTACTGAATGAGGAACTATACATGTTCAACAAACTTATATCCAAAGAAATATTTATTTAATTGAGAATTTGTAACATGATTGTTGCAGAAAAGAAGATACTCTTCACTAAAGGTGCAGAATCATCCATTCTGCCATTAACCAAAACCGGGGAAATACATACAACTAGTGCACATGTGGATGAACTTGCGATGGTATGTGATGCGCCCTTTTTGTAGAATTATGTGGGATGAAGTGGGTCGCGCAAAACCATGCTTAAATACTGGTCTGATTCCTAATGCTGAAATGGAGTGTGAGATTCGCACACGTACGTGCATCTGGGCACCAAGTTTGTAAAGAGGTATATTTGAAACCTAACTATTTCCAGCAGCCGCCAGAGCAAATGGATTATGATGTTTCTTAAAATGTCTGGCGGTGGTGCCATTTTTGAGTGCCAATGATCTCATTCTTCTTATAGCTAAGCACCAACTAAATAGTATGAAGGAACTCGTGCCCTGATGTATAAAAGATCATTAACTACTGATACATTATTTTTTCAGATTGCTGGTGTAATTTGTCATTTGTTTTTCTATACTGAACTAACATTTGAAAAGTGTACTGCGAGTAGTCTGGCTGGCACTGATGTCATTTTTGTTTCAAGCATGAGATTTTAAGTCAACTGAGGGCCAAACGTTTAACTGCCGGTATGGGTGGTCAACTAAAACTTTGGAAACTAATATGATCAGCACACTTGCAAGTTTACTGGACTCGTATTGAGACTAGCAAAAAACACTGATGCTATCTGATAAGTAATTTAAGTAATCAATTCATAGAATCCCTACAGTGTGGAAACAGACTGTTTGGCCCGACTGTCTGAAGAGCTGCCACACCACACTCCATACTGACTCTCCGAAAAGCAGCGCATACTTCTAAGTTACAGAATTACACATCTTTAAGTATTGCTGTGTCCATGAGTAAAAACCTTTTACCTCAAAGCATTTTCATGTTTGTTAGTCTGAGCCATAAAAACACCAAAAGCCATAAACTTATGACCAACTTAGATGTGGGTGTATGACTTTGTTCTTTAAAGAACTTGTTTTACAACTGATTACATTTAAAATATTGTTAATTCCTTACTTGCTCAATAAAATCACAATTATTCATTATTGAAAAATAACTCAGTGCCATGTGACAGTTTTGTGTGTGGAGGAGATAGGTGAATGGGCGGAGCTGTCTGATGTGTTAGCCTGAAGAGTATTGTGCAAGAAAATGCTGGAGAAGTAGAGTTTGGGATTTGACACCTAAGTATTATGCCACGCACCTTTCCTCTTTAATTAAGTTACTAAATCTTCTGTCACATTGCAGCATTGCTTCCAGTTGCAAGAACCCACACTCTTGTACAGTGTTTCAGTGACGTCTAGCCATATCCACTTGCCTTTGGCTGGCAGGCCTCTTTCTGCTATCTACTGGAGTTAGCGCTTTTTTTTGGGTCCCTTACCACACCAAGCATGAGCTCTGGGGAAAAGCCACAGATATACAAGACAAAATTCCACCATCCTTCCTTTCTACCATTTGCTGCATCCATTCTGACCCTTCACAAGTCCCTTAAAATGGCAGGTTATCATTATCATGTTGCATTCTGTATTATTGGGCAGAAAACCTGGAAGCAGAATGTATAATGCATGGCAGAATCAAACCGTAAGAGAAAACAAAAACTGCAGATGCTGGAAATCAGGAACAAAAACCGAAATCTGTGGAAAAACTCAACAAATCTTCTAAAGAAGAGCCACTAGACCTGAAACATTAACTCTGTTTTCTCTCCATAGATGCTGCCAGACTTGCTGAGAATTAAACAGTAATCAGTTTCTGGAATAAAAGCAAATGGCTGCAGATGCTGGTGATCTGAAATAAAGACGAGTGCTGGCCAACTCAGCAGATCTGGCAACATCTGGCATAAACAAAATTAACACTGAGTCCCATATGATTTCTTCTGAACAATGAGGCTGGAAAAATGTGTTTTTTATACTGTTGACAAAAGTGGGGAAGGAGCAAGTGAAACAGATAGTGAGGGTGCCCAGAGCAAAAGATGAAAGGGAATGCTAATGGTAGTAGAGAATACCTACAGCCCTGAAGTTGTTGAACTTTAATGTTTAATCCTGAAGATTATAAAATACCAAAACAGAAAATGAGATGATGTCCCTCCAGTTTGCATTGAGTTTTTCTGGAACACTTCAGCTGGCTTAAGGCAGAATTATTAGCATTACAGCAAGATGGTGTACTGAAATGAAAGCAACTCGAAGACCAGGGTCATCCTCACTGACAGAGCAGTGGTGTTTCACAAATCTGTCACACAGTCTGTTTGCTGTTATCGATGTAGAGGAGACTGCATTCTGGAGTTTGACTATGCAAAGATGCAGCAATCGAGAAGTTGCTGTCACAGATTCTACATTTATCCAAAGATGCACTGTTGAGCCACCCTACAGTACAATCAAAGGGTAATCATAAACAGAGAATTCCTGCTCTTAGGTTTATAGTCTTGCTTTAAAAACACAGAAAAGTTGCATTATTTTGAATGTGGTGCAGCTGGGTTTATAACAGTACACTAACTTCACAAATATTGCTAAACATCTTCCCTGCGCCTCTCATCATTTTATCTTTGTGCTTTCACTTTATTTAAAACCATTATTTTATTTTTATTTTCCACTTTATTCTAATCAGGATCACCAATGTCACTGTCAGAATTTATATGTGAAGGATTGAGTGCTTTTAATTTTCTGTTTTGCTATGTGTGGATAGTTTAATGTGCTTGATTGCATGCAGCACTGGTGTCAAAGAAATCGTCTCAGATCTAAATGGGCCCTGTACCATCAGGAAATGGGAAATCTGCATCAGAGATCTTTGTCAGGTTTCTTTGAGCTCAATGGCAAGAAATGCTGCTTTGTTCTTGCCTGTAAAATCCACTGTAATGCTCCTTGTGGAACACTGCTGTGCTCTAGTTGGACGCTATGTCTTTCTACATAATAATTACAACAATTCAAAAGTTAAGAACCTCATTGGCTACAGAGGTTTTGAACACACTTCAAATGTAAACAGGTCTATAGAAATTTCAAATTTTATGTGTACTTTCTAGAAGGGATTGCGAACACTTTGTATGGCATACAAATATTTAACCAAAAAAGAGTATGAGGAAGTGGCATCGCAACTTCTTGCAGCCAGGACATCTCTGCAACATCGAGAAGAAGAAGTAGCCAATGCTTTCAATCTTATTGAGAGAGACTTGCACCTGCTGGGAGTTTCTGGTGTGGAAGACAAGTAGGTTTTCTTTGTCGTTACTCCAGTTAGGTATTTATAATTTCTTCTATTTTGCCACAAAGTAATAAATAATGTAAATAAATTTAATATGAAGTATCTGATGAAGTAATTATTCTGACAAATTCTGTATATTAAGTTCAAATGCTGCAGATATTTCTGAAATGATGATTTGGTATACATTAAATTGTGGAAATTATTTTCTTCTGTTTTGAAAATAGTGTCTCATTTCATGTAAAATTGTAATTTGTAATAAAAATCTGGGTCCTTTCCTTAAACTAATGTCCTGTAACCTTTGCAATGTGCTAGAAGCATTAGTCAATTAATACATTTTCATCAATCCAGTCATTTGTCATTGAAAGTTAAGAATTCGTAACAGATGTCTTCTCCATGATGTATTTCGCCGTATTCCTTCAAAATAGAATAATTAAGTTATTTTTGGAATTGAAATTCAGGTTTGTATGTTTTCCTTAACATTAATCATCCTGCAAGTGCAAATGGGAAAGTAAGGAACACTTCAGGAGGTGGTGGTTTTCATGAAAGAAATCAAATCGGTAATAGACACACAAGAGAAATGAACGGCATATTTGTAAACGACCAGTTCCTAATGTGAATTCTGTTTATTTTTAAAACTAATTCAGTCTTCATGTACAATTAAGAATTGCTGTTAAGAATATTATGCTGTTCAAATGAGGAAACCTTTCTCCATCCTTTCTCAGTGTCACTGAAGGTCCCATTTTTCTGTTTTCTTTCTTAGTTTTGAAGTAATGAGCAGCTTCCCATATAACTATATATCCCTGTGTAATTGTCCTTAATAAAATTTAGTCTCATTTTAGTCTTTAAGAACACAACAATGAACTTCTAAAAGTTTTGAGTAACTATTTTTCATCAACCTGGAATGCTACGCTGGGCAATCTTATCCTATATCACTTTAGGTTGCTAATTGGCTTCACTTTCTTTGTAAGATGCCATAGATCTTCGTTGTGAAAGTCACCCATGATTATTCCAGATTTATAACAAAAGTAGAACATAATGGATTTAATGATTGAAAGTACTTCAATTTTAATTCAGAATTAATTATGGATTTTGTATATTTGTCCAACTACCCTGTCATATCTGAATGTACTGCTTCATATTTACTTTCTCTTACCAACTTGGGAACCTTGTGTAAGTTCAAAGGATCTATATAAGAATATAAGAGCTAGGAGCAGTAGTAGGCAATTCAGCCCCTCGAGCCTGTTCTGCCATTTGATAAAATCATGGCTGACATGATCTTGGCCTCAACTGTGCTTTACTGCCTGCTCTTCATAACTTTTTAACCCATTACTAATTAAAAAGTGGTCTATCTCCTTAAATTTACTCAATGCCCCATGATCCACTGCAATAGTGGATTCCACAGATTCACAACCCTTTGAGAGAAGTAATACAAGGTACTTTGTTGAGTAGTCAGTCAAGGTGTTAGTTATGCATCTTCTCTTCAATGTCAAGTTAACTAGTTTACGTGGAATTCCACTACTCAAGGGCCTGGATCTGTGAACATTTTTTTTGTAGAAAGGTAACATTCAATCTAAAGAGAATCAGACAAAGTGAAAATAATTAATGTTTTTAAAATACAGCCTGTTTATTATACTAGTCTCACACACCCAACAACGTTAATTTGAATGTAACTTTGTTTTCATGGTTTGTTTTCAAATGGTCCCATTTTCCTTTTACTTCCAAAAATAAGGACTCATTGCGAGTATAATTCTAATGTAATGGCTTGTTGGTAACTGACAAATAGCAATTTTTAAACTCCTGTACGTTCAGGAAATGAACGTGCGTCTTGTTGTTGACCATGGAGTATCAGAGTTGAGCCCTTTCTGAGTTGCTGTCCACTTAGTTGCATACTTTGCCAATGTTACTGAACAGCCATCAGAAATTGAAATTATGTATATTTATGTTGGTTTTTGTAAATATTATAACTGCTTTCATTCTTCTTCTAGATTACAAGACAAAGTTCCGGAGACCATAGAGGCTCTTAAATTGGCAGGAATCAAAGTATGGGTTCTTACAGGTGATAAACTGGAAACTGCAATCAGTGTGAGTTTATCAAGTGGACATTTTCACAGGACAATGAATATTTTGGAGCTTATCGATCAGAAATCTGACTGTGAATGTGCTGCACAGCTTCAAAGGCTTGATAGAAGGTAATCACATTCTGTGTGTTCTCTTTAACACGTTACAGACAATACTTCTGTATTTTGTCATTCTGCAGTGAATTATTTCTAGTAAAAACTATTCAGTCAAAAATTTAAAACTGTAAATATTAAAGTTTCAGCAATAGTTACATCGGTCTTTCATATTAATGTGGACTGTTCATATTTTTAAAAATATCTCTATCTATCAATAACAATTTGCATTTATGAAACACCTTTAATGTATGAAACCTCCCCATAGCAGCAAGACAAGACTCTAAGATGCAGCAACCGAAGTAGGCCATTCCAGTCTGTTCTCCAATTCAGTGAGATCATGGTTGATTTGATCATTCTCAACTTAACATTCCTGCCATTTTCCCATAAACCCCATTCCCTCAATTGCCTTACAAATTAAAAATGTGTCTGTCTCTGCCTTTAATATACTTAGTGACACAAACTCCATAGCCCTGTGTGGTAAAGAATTCCACAGGTTCATTTCTCTGAGAAATGAAAATCTTCACCTGTCCTAAATGGGTGAGCTCATATTGAGATTATGCCCTCTGTCCTAGAGACTCTCAAGCGGAGATAATCTATCAGTATCTACCCTGTCAAACTCCCTAAGAATCTTGTATATTTTAATAAGGTCACTCCTCATACTTCTAATGACCAATGAGTGAAGAGCCAACCTACTTAGCCTGTCCAGATAAAATCCCTCCATGTCTGGGATCGACCTAGCTTTCCTTGGGTAAAGTGACTTAAACTGTTCAGTATTCTAGGTGTGGTCCAATAAGCGTAGGAACTTGACAGAAGGTTATCACATTCTCTGTTCTCTTTAACCATAAAACCATAAGATTATAAGATATAGGAGCAGAAATTAGGCCATTAAGCCCATCGAATCTGCTCCACCATTCAGTCATGGCTGATAAGTTTCTCAACCCCATTCTCCCGCTTGATCCCCTTGACAATCAAGAACCTATCTATCTCTGTCTTAAATATACTTAATGAACCTAATCCTTAACCTATTCCACATAAATATTTATACATTTTATTATTCCATAGTGAATTAGTTCCAGTAAAAACCGTTCATCAATTTAAAATAGTAAATATTAATTTTCAGCAATAGTTACAACTGTCCAAGAGTAACAACATGCATTGATGTAGCACCTTTAACGTAGAAAACCTTTCCAAAGTAGCATATAAAACCTGATGTGAAGGTGCTGGTGTTGGACTGGGGTGGACAAGGTCAGAAATCACACAGCACCAGGTTATAATCCAATGAGTTTATTTGAAAACACAAGCTACGTTCTGAAAGCTTGTGTTTGCAAATAAGACCATAAGATGTAGCAACAGAAGCAAGTCTTGTATAGTTTTAGTAAGACTTCGCTATTTTTATATTCTGTTCCCATCAAAATAAAGACTAATATTTCATTTACCTTCCCTATTACTGGCTGAGCTTGTGTGTTTGCTTTTTGTGATTCATGCATGAGTATTTCCAAATTCCTCTGCTGTAGCTTTCTACAGTTTTTCTCCACTTTACTGTTTAGCTCCCCTATACTTGCTGCAAAGCTCAATAACTTCACATTGTCCCATATTGTATTTGATCTGCAAAGTTGTTTTGCTTATTCAATTAATCTGTCTGTGTCCCTCCTATAGACTGTCATCTGCAAACTTGGCTAAAGTACATTCACTTCACTCATCCAAGTTATTAACATGCAATGTAAATAATTACATTGTAGCACTGTAGCACTCTTCTATTTATAGGTTGCCATCGTGAAAATGCATCTTTATCCCAACTCTATCTTCTAATGATTAGCCATTCCTTTATCCATGCTAATACACTATCCTCAACAGCATGGCCTTGTATCTTAAGCAGCCTTATGTACAGTACCTTATTCAACACCTTTTGGAAATCTAAATATTATATCGGTTCCCCTTTATCTGCCCTGCTTGCTGCCACCTCAAAGCATTTTAACAAATTTGTGGGGCACGTTTTTCTTCCATGAAGTCATGCTGACTCTGCTTGCTTTGTATTATGCACTTCAAAATGCTTTGCTTTAAATACTTTATAATGGACTCAAACATTTACTAATGAAATAAATTAATTGGCCTATTATTTACTTTTCTGGCTCCCTCCCTTTTTGAGTGTTACATTGGCAGTTTTTCAGTTCTTGAGGACTTTCCAGAATCTAAGGATTGTTGAAAGGTTTATGACCAGTGCATCTGCTATCTCTGCGGCTACTTTCTTTCTAATATCCTAGGATGTAACCTATCAGGTCCAGGAAACATATTGGCCTTTAGTCCTATTAATTTCCCAAGTACTTTTGTTTTCTCCAGTGATGGTTACTGTATTTATTTTCTTTCTCCTTTCTCCACATGCCCCCACACACCAGCCCTTGATTACTTACTACTTTTGGAATGCCATGAATGTATTTTACAATGAAAATTAGTCAGCTCCTCTGCTATTTCTTGGTTTCCCACTAATATTAGCCCAACCTCATTCGCAAGGGGGCCTCTGTTCATTTGTGTCCATTTTTATTATGTGCTAGTTTGCCTTCAGTTTATTTTCTGCATCTTTTTAGTATATCATCATTTGATCATCATTTTGAAATAACTCTGCAGAGGCTGGTATCCTATCTTTGACGCTGATCCAGCTCTAAGTGAACAGGATGTCTGACACTGACCTGTCCGTCCTCCCTGGACTGACCTATCCCCTTCCTAACTACCTGTCCGTCCTCCCTGGACTGACCTATCCCCTTCCTAACTACCTGTCCGTCCTCCCTGGACTGACCTATCCCCTTCCTAACCACCTGTCCGTCCTCCCTGGACTGACCTATCCCCTTCCTAACTCCCAGCTACACTCCCCTTTACTGGCCTCCTCGGTGGTCGAGAACGCCCTCAACTGTGTCTCCCACATCTCCCGCACCTCATCCCTCACACCCCGTCCACGCAATAAGAACCAAAAAAGAATCCCCCTCGTCCTCACGTACCACCCCACCAACCTCCGGATCCAACGCATCATCCTCCGACACTTCCGCCATCTGCAATCCGACCCCACCACCAAAGACATCTTTCCCTCCCCACCTTTATCTGCTTTCCGGAGGGACAACTCTCTCCGTGACTCCCTTGTCCGCTCCACACTCCCCTCCAGCTCCACCACACCCGGCACTTTTCCCTGCAACCGCAGGAAGTGCTACACCTGCCCCCATACCTCCTCCCTCACCCCCATCCCAGGCCCCAAGAAGACTTTCCACATCAAGCAGATGTTCACCTGCACATCTGCCAATGTGGTATACTGCATCCGCTGTACCCGGTGTGGCTTCCTCTACATCGGGGAAACCAAGCGGAGACTCGGGGACCGCTTTGCAGAACACCTACGCTCGGTTCGCAACAAACAACTGCACCTCCCAGTCGCGAACCATTTCAACTCCCCCTCCCATTCCTCAGACGACATGTCCATCCTGGGCCTCCTGCAGTGCCACAACGATGCCACCCGAAGGTTGCAGGAACAGCAACTCATATTCCGCTTGGGAACCCTGCAGCCCAATGGTATCAATGTGGATTTCACAAGTTTCAAAATCTCCCCTCCCCCCACCGCATCCCAAAACCAGTCCAGCTCGTCCCTGCCTCCCTAACCTGTTCTTCCTCCCACCTATCCCCTCCTCCCACCTCAAGCCGCACCTCCATCTCCTACCGACCAACCTCATCCCGCCCCCTTGACCTGTCCGTCCTCCCTGGACTGACCTATCCCCTTCCTAACTCCCTACCTACACTCACCTTTCCTGGCTCCATCCCCGCCTCTTCGACCTGTTTGTTTCCTCTCCACCTA